GGCGCTGCCGGCGCCAGCCGTTCCGCGGGCAGCGGGAGTCCGTGCGGCCGTTTCGGCTGCTGGCGGAGGCGCGCTCCCCGCCGTGCTCGCTGCTCGCGGCCGAACCGCGCCGGTAGAGGCGCGCCCCTGCAGCTTTCCGCGCGGCTCTGCTGTGCGGGAGACAGCGGTTTGCTAGGTTCGGGTCGTGGGGGGGAGCGAAGCCCAAAGTGCCCCCAAACCAGCAGCCGCTTTCGTAGAGCAGGGGCTTTTTTTGCGTTATTGTAGTTTTGTCTAAAGCCTGACCCAAATCATCATTTCAGTCAGCAGGTGGGTATGTCTGCTGCTTTCTGAAAGATGGAGTGCAGTTAACCCAGGCGGGCGAATTGTTTTAAAAACGAGCAAGCCCCAAACATCTAACTGAAAGCTTAACATCTAGAGGCAGTAATCCCGAGAGGGAGATGCTAGATGTACAGGCAGGTTTCATATCACTCTGGGGTCACATAGCGAACTGAAGATTATCGCCGTGTAAAGCTTCTCAGAATTTTTGTCAGGGTGCATCGCAGTCAATGTGAAAGTTTGAACTGGCAGTCACCCATACATCCAGATAGTTTGGGGGCTGCTAGAAAAGAGCAGTTCCTGATAATGCTGCGTAGTATTTTATTTATAAAAAAGAGAATACTACGCCTGAAGGTAGACAGCAGTTAAGAGACTATTTCAATGTTCTGCACATTGTACTCGCTCTTGCAGGTGTGTTACATGTTTGTTGAAGCCTCATGCTGGGTTAATGGTTATCTGTTTTCCCGTGCACCGAGTAGGATGTATGAACTGGGGTGTACCTTGTGTGTGCCGGCCATCTGTTGATACTGGGGTAATGTGATTACATTTAGCAATATAGGTTTTTTTAGGATAATCTAGAGTTTTAAATAGATGTAACTAGTTTTCACATACCCAGTATATCGTGAATGCTTTCTGCTAAGTGATTATAGCTGTTTTAAACAGGGGCGTGATAATCTCATTGGAATATTACTGTTCTGCCGAGATTGTCTTCCAGAGCAAGGGTGGTTAGTGAGTAGTCATCATGCAGGATCTGATTTAGGGTGTTTTCATCTTGGCCCAGAAGATTTTCGAATACTTCCTGTTGTGGCTGCGCATGTCTTAACTGCTTGGCAAAGTAACTTTGTGCTCATGAAACTCAAGTCTTGCCAGTGTTGGCACTTAGATCACTGTCTCAGAGCTACCTAAGACTACAGAGAATGTTTAAAGAAGCGGGGGGGGGGGCTGTTTCAATTTATGAATGTATTTTCTATTGGGTGCTGGGAGAAGAGGGTGGTTTACCTGTGACAGCTGCTTAAAAATGCTCAGTGACTAAGACCTAAACCAGGAAAAGCAATTTCAGACTAGATTTCCTTTAGCTTTGTGAGAAAGCAGTTATTGATAATTGTATTCCTCTCTTCCACCAGCCCTGTAATTCCCAAACTGCATAGGCTGAACTGCTTAGAAACTAACTGTCTGGAGAGGAAGTATTTAAATGAAATTGGCAGGATGGGGAAGGATAAGGAGAAAAAACTGTTTGCAAGATTGGCTTCCATTATTGGATGAAGTGGGGAGTTGAGGATCTTGGTGTAACACCATTCTGGTTTTAAAAAAAAAAATAAAAATCCAGTGGAGCATTATTTAAACCAAAGTGTGCAGAAGGATTGAAAATCATGCCTTTTTTGAAGAGCTGGTACTTATTAAATTCAAGGCCAGGCTCAAGGTCATTGAAATATTCCTGACCTTGAGAGTAGTGGGGTTTGCGGTAATTTGGTTCTTGATGTTCCTATCACCTTTGACATACTCTATTTCTAGTAATATGCAGATCACAGCTTTTCATTAGAATGTGGCAATTTTTTAATTTCTTGGTAGATTGTAGCTCTTGTTTTACCACTTGTCCCCATTGCCTTTGATTTTGCTCTGCCTGGCAACACAAAAGAGTTTAAAATGTTTCTAAAAAAAAAAATCTTTCTTGGGTGAATTATCAGAATCATTAAAGTGCTTTTTAATTCCCTGATTAACAGAATTTTATACTTTACACAGTTTGGGGGGATTTGTTTTGTTTTGGGTGGGTTGTAGGGGGGTTGGGGGGGGTGGGTTTTTGGGGGTTTTTTTTGGTTTTTTTTTTTAGGTTGGTTGGTCGGGTTTTTTGGAGGAGCCTAGAATGTGCAAATTTAAAATTTTTACCTATATTAGAAAAGGCAGATCAAACATTTGATCTCTTCAGTGGGAATAGAACAAACTCAGAGGTAAATTCGAAGCCAATGATGGTGCCTGAATATGTAGTCTATGCTACTGTTTTGGAGCTTATAGTATCATTTGTAGTGAACAAGAACATGCTCTGAAAATCGCTTTGAAAATCCCACAATGAGATGCTCAAATGTGGTTTTAGGAGATTAGCTGTAGGCTGTAATTTGTGGAACTTCGTGCACACTCATTTATAACTGGTGTCCCTGGGGCCAGAATGGAGAAGCTCAGAGGATGCAGTTATTAAATGTTTTTATGGATTTACTGTTAAGGTCGGAGAACACCTAGACAGCACAGTTCTGTATTGGTCAAACTGATTCAGAAAATACCCACTGAGCTGTAAGAATATTTCTGAAAAATACACTGTGTTAGTAAGGACCCTTCTCATTTCAAATGGAGTTGTCCGATGTGTGACTGTGTAGAACAAGGTATGCAGCTCCAGGCCTGCCCCTTGCTGTATCCTTTCCTGGAGGGCCCTGTGCTTGCAGGCAGGGAGAACCAAGAGCTTTGTGACTTGCTTTGGCAACCTGCTTCCTCCCTCGTCTGAATTTTGGCAGTGGGATAGAGGCACTTGCAGTCACACAGCATCGCTCAATGTGTGATGAACTGCTGCCTGGTACCTGCCAGGATGCAATGTTCAGGCAGCCTCTTGCCAGCTGCCCAGCCGAGCGCCCTGCTGCTCTGTGCTTGCCTTTGCTCGTGTGACAGACACCTGACAAAGAAGTGAAACAGAAGGGACTTGGCAGATGGTCTTCAGGAGTTTCCAGTGAGTTGCAGTTCTTAGAATTCATCTGGGATATCTAAAAAGCAGTTGTATTGTTAATGGCAGTACAATGAAATCATTCTGTAAGTGGCAGCTGTGGTTCTGTTACACACCTGGAAAAGCACATTATTTTTTTTAAAAGTGTTTTTTTTAAATACCTTAAGTATACCTAACTTAAACTTCTCTTGCACGCTTCTCTGACAAGAAGTGGAAAACTGGGTTGGATGTGGACCATGCCAAAAAAAAGTGGCTTATATTTTGATGTAGTAAAAAGCTGGACTAATTTAATATAGTCATGACTGCAGGTTGAAAAAAAATCTTCTCTGAAGTATGTCATTCCGAGTACTGCTAACCTGACATACTTAAATAGAAACTACTGAATACATATTGTGGGTTTCCCAAATACTGAGGAATGAGGAGTGCTGAGGACCAGGTGCTAATCTTATGTACTTACATACAAATGTTTTCTTCATACTGGTTTTTTTACTGTTAGCAGTTAAACTAAAGGACTTTTTATTACATGTGTCAGTAGTTAAAAGGTTAGTTCAAGTTGAATTTACTGCTGATGACCAGAGATGCGGGAACTTGTCACTCGGAAGTATTAGGAACAAGCTGATGGAAAAGTGTGATTATTTTTTTTTAATGTTATTTTTCAACTGTAAAGTTGATTAAATATTTTTTTAATAGTATGCTTAGGTAAACTCGGGTTTTGCTATCCCTGTTCTCTAGAAAACAGGAGTGATCCTTACAAATAGGATTATACCTGTTTTAAATGAATCGAGTCATTTACAAATGGAGTGAAATGTTAACAATTGACATTAGTGTCCCAGGACTTTTTTTTTTTCCCAGTATATAGCTGAAACGAGCAAAGATTGCCAAGTTTTCTTTAAAAGGCCTGATTGTAAAGATCCTATTTTATCTTAAATCAGCTTATCTTGCTCCACTGGTTCATTTTTCTGCCAGGTCAGTTACCCCCTCTGCCTTGCACTGGTGCTAGAGTCAGCGTGAGGAATCGGTTAGAAGCAGAGAGTGGAGTAGGATCATTATTTCTGATAGTCGTGCAGGCACCGAGCAGATCTGAATGTCTCTGGAACAACACAACGTCTTGAAACTGCTAAGACTTAACTGTTGCAAAGAAATGGGGGGGGGGGTGGTTTTTTTTTTAATAATTGTCACTACATAAAAATTAGGTTATAGTCTAGAAATATGAAAAACTAGCAAAGTTAATTAGATTCTTCTTAAGAGACAAGTAAATTTGTACATGCTTCTGAGCCTTACAGGTGGTCATAAAAGTGTTCTCCCAAGCATCCTAACAAATATTATGCTATGTGACTAGCAGAAAAATCTTTGGAGCCTTTAGATATGCAGAACCCATATGTAAGAAGTGTCAATCAGCACCTCTTTGGGTTCACCTGCTAGCTTTTTGACCTGAGCTACTGTGTTTGGAGTCCTTAGCTCAGTTCTTTAGCTGTTACTAGCAAAGCACTTTTCTTGTTCTAGATCATCTTTATCTTTTATCTATTCACGCCTTAAGCAGTTTTTCTGTTTTACACTAGGCAATTCAGTTATCATGGGTAGTGGTTACTAATGTGTGACTTTTCTGTCCTCCTTGTCTGGGAGGAGTTGAAGTGACACCCCTGTGCTTAGTCATCCTGTGTTTGGTGACACACTTTATATGGTAACAGAGGCATAATCTAGAACTTGAAACCCATTTTTTAATTTCTTCATTTCCATATGGGATTATTGAAGAGTTCTCTGTGTACTTAAGGATTGGTGGTGGGTTGAGGTTGGTATTTTCAGGGTACATAGATTTTGTTTTCCACTTTGCTTTACACTTGGAGGTGGAAGGTATGCTAGCCTAGGAATGACTGCTAGCCATTTGGGTAGCCTCAGGCTGAGAGCCAGGTTAGGGCATCAAGAGCCTCCTCTGAGAGCTCTTCTTTCAAATATGGGTCAGCAGCAAAGTAAAGGCAGAAAAAAGTGTCTTGTATATGTGAATCTCTGTGAAGCCTACCCAAAATTTTGAATTGATACCAGCTCAGAAATCTGAAAGTAGTAGCAACACATAAACTCCATGAAAAGATGCTTTATTTGTCGATCAGGAGTGATCAGAAGGCTTAAAGAACAACGATCATGTTTCAGTGAATTGTGTGTGTGTGTTGGCTTTGTTATAAAGTTCTGGTACTTTAGCCCTTAAAAATGAGGGGAATGGTGAAGGACTTGAGGAATTCTTCTACTCTGTATTTGGGACACCATATGAAATGGCATTTATGAAGAAGCAAATGGGCATATTCATACCTCATAGAAAATCATTCCTATATTTTTCTACTTGTAATGCATTAGCTAAAAATGGTTTCATTATGTTCTCCATTCACAAGTATTAATTCAGTCATAGTGTAAACCAGAAGCAATCCTGCTTAGAAGTGTATTGTTCTAAAGATGTTGTGGTAAAGATGCGTCCAGTGTTAGTGACAAAAATATCAGAATAAGCTGCCCGTTCAGCATGTAGCAGGAACAGGATCTTCTGTGACTGCATAAGCCTCAATTAAATAATGATGTTGAATACTTGTTATACAGGGCTTGCTTTGCTGATGAAATTTGATATGCATTATTTAACCTGATATTCCACCCAGTTAGTAGCTCTTCATGAGTAAAGCTTTCAGAGTCCCTTGCCAACATGTTGGGACTCATGCTTGAAAAATTTGAGTGGAAAGCTCACCGGTTTTGGTTGATGTAGCTTAATGCAGGAAGTCAAAAGCATAATAATGAAAATGCACATCATTGTCTTTGCGTGGATTGCACCATTAGTTTGGATTAGAGGTTACAGTTGGATTATAAAGGGTAATTCTCATCAGTGCACTGGGATTGTTGTTTGTAGTGTATTAGGATACATCAGAATAGTAAGAGATGCTGGATCAAATAAATCATTGTTATAAGCATGTTATAATGCTAAGTATTGTTGATACGTAAGTGTTCATTCTGCTGGTTTGTGATTAACATATACTGAACAGGAATGACATTGTGGAGGCTTTTGATGGTTTAGACTTAGGATTTCAAAGTGAATTGTATAGCACAAATGCACATTGTGAACTTAAGCTTTGGATGTTCCTTAGTCAGTAGTATGCACTGGTCTTGAATATTGATGTTACTTTTGTAGTCGGTATGTTTAATACAAACTAGAAAACTTTCTTTAGAAAGTTAACATTACTGCTGTCATCTCTAATTTTGTGCCTCTAGTGTGCAGTTTCCTTATGCTTATGAAGGTTAAGAGATGTGCAGGTGTAGAAATTTCCTTGATGTTTGGCTTTTTTTCTTGAATGTTTTCAACTCTGTTTCAAAGTTCTCCATTCATCTGGAAAGTCATCTCTTACAGAAATGTGGTTTGGGCCAGGTACTTTAAGTAAAACTAAAGCTGCTGCATCTTGAGGAAAATCTAAGTCATTTTTTCTGCATCTCCATATAAACTTTATCAATCATATGGTGTTTGGGTTTTTTTTAATGGAGAAAATCTAATTGGAAACACAGGGATGGCTTATAGTCATAGATGTTGACTCCTGCAGTGCCCTGCTAAGTTACTTTGATTTCTTTAATGAGCATGAGTCCTAAAGATCAAGTAGTTGAATACTCTGCTATTCTTCAGAGGGAGGGTTAAATAAGTTGCTATTCTGCGCTAATTTGATTATTTACCTATTAAAATAGAACTTGTAATAAGGTCTGAAACATCAGTGGTAGTGTCCCCTTTATAAATGTTTAAAGATACTTCTAAAATTTAGATGACTGCAGCTATGTGGTACCTAGATATATTGTTTTCTTCTTACAGAATATATAAAGCCTTTTTTTTTTTTAATACCCTTAAACATTGTTTAGCATTCACCTGATTGATTGCCAATACAAAGAGTGTATCAACGTAAGTACGGTTTGACAAAGAGAAGTAGCATCTTGGTTATCTGACATAATGGTGAAGTCCTTGGCTTAAGAACGCATCTATTCATGTTATTTTAATTCTTAGAAGGCATCTGCAAAAGTCTCTTTTGCTGTAGGCCGACTGTCAGGTGTATAGTGGATCCGTAGGTTTCATTCCGTCCTCTCCCCCCGCAGCAACCCGTGTAGACCCCAGGTCATCACCTACTCAAGATGATTGATCTGTAGGTCAGCAGCAGAGTGTGTTTTCTGTCTTTGCCAACATGTCTGCACTATTTAGGGGTATTGGAGCTCACAAAATTAATGAAGAAATAAAAGCATTTTCTTCTGAGGCTATCAGACTTGTGAATGAGCTGCCAGAGGGACACAAAATTCAGTCATTGTTAGGACATAGTTATAGGACACCTTACCATTTTGATCGACATTTCCTTCTGAAACAGCATAGATTAAAAAGAAATGCAAATGTATGAAACTGCTTTTCATAGGAAGAAAAAGGTAAATACCTGAATGTTCTGTGTATGGGAGCCTTCTGAAAGTCTCTTAAATACTAGACTGAAGGCACAGTGCAGAAAGAATAAACTTTTAAAATGTAAACGTGGAACATGTTCTTGAGGCTGTCATTGATCAGTTTCTGCTACTTTTTTTTTTTAATTTTTCCTATGTTGTCTTATCTCAGTTTGATAATTGTGATTATCATGCTAGCCACTTAAATGAAAAAAAGACTGTACTGCAGCTGTAGCATCAGTTCCTAGTTGTGGTAGAGGTATGAAAAAAGCTACATCTAGATGTTGAGGTAACATCTGTGAAGATACTACTTGTCAACTTTACCTATGGAACCATGAGTCTTTCAGCAAATTTCTGGTCTTGATAAATCCTTGACTCCTGATAGGTTAGTGCTGTTAGGCCATCAGCTGTATTTTTTAAAATACTTTTCTTGATTTTGTTCATGTGTCTTTATATAGAAGAATCTTTACAGTCAACATGTATTTCTAGATGCTGTGTTAAAATTGCTGGCAGAGTCTATTATTCTATACAAACTGAACAATCTGGCCCCTTGTTTTATTTATAAAGGTTCAATGTATCTTTGCCTGCCTACATCAATCTGCAAGGGAGTGTCAGAAAGGCCCCGCATTCGCCGAGCCGTGAGTTATCAATAACTTTTCAGATGTGTTAATGAATGTGGAACAAACGCAATTACGTGTTTAAAAAAATACGGATCCACCTCCTAAAAAGCAAAAAAAGAAAAGCCAAACTCAAAACTTTTTACTGCAGTAGCAGGCATGATTATAAAGGGATTGGTCTAAATTTTTAGTAATGTAAGTATAACTGAGCAGTAAGGTCACCCTCTAGAAAACCTATTGTTGAACTGCTTTGAAGCTGTCTTTAGCCTGTGGATTACAGGTTTTAACTGTTGTATCCCGCAGGCAAATAAAGCATGTGGTGATTTTGGAAACTTTTTTTTTGCTTAATAATCTGAAACTTGGCCCATCTGAAAATGTTATATATTAGCATCCTATGCATAGAACTGATATTTAAAAAGCTGATTACATAATAGTAAGAAAGGCTTGACTGATAAGATATGGGCTTTTTATTGATCCCCCTCTGTTGTAGTTACCTCAGTAATGAATTTGGCGTCTTGAATTGTTTAATAGATTCAAAATTCTCAGCATTTCAGATCATGAAGCCATAAAAAAAACTTTAATAACTACAAAATGTATCTATACTCTTTAAAATATATGATGAAATGGAAAAGGCTGCTATCTGAAATCATTTTATGTCTTTTCTTTTTTTCCCCCAGCAGCCCTCTTTGCTTCAGTAATTCACCAGTAGGTTTTCAGTGATCAGAGATCTTAACAAGTTGTTATGTTTTAAAAAATTAATAGATACATGCCGAGAGAGATTAAGGTGTTATATCATGCCTGTGTCTTAACAACAAGAGAGCCGTAGCGGTGATCTCTCTTCTGAATCTCAACTAGTGACAATTATGTTATGACTCAAAGGCAAACATATTCCCGCCCTTATCCCCAAAATACCAGTTGGTTACTTTGTTCTGAAGACTTTAGGTCTTGCTCCAAGATGGGGTTATTTAAACTTGCAATTGGACCTCAGTTGATGCTTCTGCTGATGCAGGAACCGCAGCCTGCGATGCCGAAGATATAATTAAGATGTTCCCAGCCCAACAAGCAGCATGTAGAAAAGAAAAAAAAATATGGCTTATGATAGAGAGATATGCAAACATCTGTAAAATAATTTTGCATGTAGGCTATGTCCATATGTTTGACTTTTTTTCAGGTTTGTAAGCATTTAAAATCATTCTTCTGCCAACTCTTTATTCTACTCTCATCAGAAGTAAGAGGGTGCATTGCATCCAAGAGCAAAATCATAAAATGAGTATCAGGTGGGATTCGGTGAAGACTCAGTGTGTATAATTTTGTGTTTATGAGGCTGCTTTTATATGCTAATTGTTGCATACAAATACATCAGTATTTCATGCAAAATCTGAATAGAACATTATATAGCTCATTTAACAAATGCTGTTGTAGCAAAGTGTTTTTAAGCTAATGCTGTCTTTCTTGTTTCAAGCACTTTTCACGCTGCATATTTGAAGGGGAAGTGTGAGAGGATTGTTAAATAGCATTATAGAGCATTAAAACACATATTTGTGGTTTTGGTGTTATTTGGCGAAGAAGCATACAGTGGTTTAAGTTCTAGTTTCCATAGACCTTCACTATGTGACAGGGCAATGTTAATGCTTTGCATGTAATCTGCAGAACATGTTTGGCTTCCCCAGATTTCTAACCTGGATGTGCTGATTTCTATATTGCAGGTGACACAACCCGTCAGCGAATCAAATTCAGTGATGACAGAGTGTGCAAGAGCCACCTTCTCAACTGCTGCCCTCATGATGTGCTCTCTGGAACTGTATGTAGCTAAATCTTGTGTTTTATTTAGATAAGAATGGAGAAGTTGTATTATATTTGTTCTTTGTAATACCTCTTTTAATTTAATGTTTTTCAGCAAGCATCTATCTAGTGCGCTCTAGTAGTTCAGAGGAGCTTTTATAAACAACTAATTTATGGGTTATGAAGTTAATTTTTAGAAGTTTCCTATTCTGTATGCTAATTATTACTTAAAAATTCAACATTGTTTGCTATAACATTAAAAAAAAAAAGATGTTACCTACCTGAATTGCACTATAGCAAAGTGGTTTTAAGCTGGTACAGTTGCAACTAGTAGAAAAAAAAAGGAAATAAAATTTATGCATACATTATAAAGTTACTTTCTTAAGACTTTATGTTGTAGTGAGAAAGTATCCAACACAAATATTTGTATAGGGAAGAGAGGTGATTTTTCTTTCTTCAGAAATGTTTTAGTGAAAACAGTTGAAAATTCAAATAATTACATTTCTACAAGCTGAGATACATTTAACATGATAGTGACGCTTACTGTACAATATCAGTTACTGTGCCATTTTCACAAATTCTAAGGCAACTTGAAAAATCTCCATTTATGGCATACTAGTAACTTGCTGGGTTTTTGTGTACTCTATAGTAGAGGTTCCTCTGCCTGGGCATAGCAAACAAGGGGCTTTGACTGTTGCCAGTAGCTTTGTCATTGTGCCTGTGCTTTACCTTGTGGTGCCTGATTAAGATAGCTCATTCTTTGTGGAAGGTAGGTGAGTTACATTGCATTGATTATTTAACCTAATGTTCCACGGTGTTAGAATAATTAACAGTAGAGAGACGTATGATTTGCAGAGTCTCGTGTGCCTACCATTCTTAGGGCTGCATTTTGGTAGCTTTTCTTGCTCACTTTGTCACATTTTCTTACCCTGTGGCAAAGGGGAAAATAAGTACTGGAAAACCTGTCTTAAGGATTATTTGAAGCATTATTGGTTCTCTGTGCTGTATCATTCCAAATGGCTAACCTGACTGGAGCCTTTAATGAAATACAGAATGAAGTTCATTTGCAGAATTGTAAACTTGGTAACTGATTTACCTCTCACCTGGCCTCTAATATGCTTTCCAAGTAGCTGTGATTTTAAACTACCATAACATTTTTGGCTGATGAAAGGGCTTCAGACATGCATGCACACACTAATTTTGTTTTACTAATTTTGGTGCTTGTACTGACAGACCGATAGTTACAGTCTGTCCTTCCCTCTTTGAAAGAGTCCCTGCAAAAGTAGGCACAACTGTAATTGCCAAGAAGCACAGGAAGAAGACGCAAAATAAATAGTAGGACTGAACTAGAGAACTTAGCATTTGTCTTAATAAAAAAGGCAGTGGAATAGAAAAGGCCCACTTGTTGAGCTTCTTCATAACTCTTGTGGCTTCCTAAATTTTTTTTCCTATCCTTAAAGACGCTCTTTTGTATTGCAAAGTTCTGTCATATCACAAAAATCAGATGTCTTGAAGTTAATGTGGTGTGTTCAGCATATACTGAAGGTAATGCATCTTGCATATATTTACTTACAAAAAAAGAATGACTTGAAGGTAAGTAAGCTTTGTGTATCAACGCATATGTAGTTTTATTTTGAACTGTTCTGGGCATTACTGTCCAAACAAAATGGGGAAAAAAGGGAGAAGAAGGTGTTCCTCTTCACACATCTATTATGTTGTCCACTCTTTTGGTTGTGTGATGAGCGAAATAGCTCATGGCTGGGGGAAGATACGGAACATAACAGTATGCTGTAAAAACATACAAAGTCATTGATCAGAATCCACAAGAAGATACTGTTGAAAGATTAATTTGACAACTTTTCGTTGTGGTCTAATTTCTATAAGCAAAGATTTGTAGAATGGCTGTCTTTAGCAAGTAAGAAATGTTTATCTTTAGAACTGCAAAAGTTGTAGGTATCATGCAATAATGCCTCCTATGGTGGAGACCAAGCATGTAGGTTGGGCCTCCTTACCCAATTTGTTAAGTCCTCACTGAAAGTTCTCATCTGTCTCATACTGGATTCTGCTGCTGCTCTTGGAGTACTAATATAAACTGCTTATTCAGTGAATGTCAATATATCTTCCTTTTTTTTCCTTTTCTTTGTCATAATGCAATTAGTCATCATACCACAAAATGTGTCTAGTTAATCCTTTTAGTGGGAGTCGTGGAAAGGGACTCATAAGAGACAGGCTTTATCTGACCCATGTGATGTCCTGCTGTTTACCTAGTCATGGGTCTGAAGAAATGGACCTTCTCTCTTAATAGTACAGTTTCTAAAAGGGCAAGAGGCATGTAGTGTGACCAGACAGTTTATTGTTGATTTGGAAAATGACTGTGGAATTTTCTCCAGAGTTTTGATAGGAAAATTTTGATGCATTTTTGCATTCAAGATCTGTAGGTTACAAAGACTGAGTGCATTTTTTTTTCTTAATTCAAGTCTAGAATCTTTTGCTTCTGAAAGAATAAGTTCTCTGGGGGCATTTTATGAGGTTAAATGTCTTCATTGACTAGATTATCGGTAAAATACTGGACCTGAATTGCCATTTTTTTGTGTCACGAGATAATCTGTGCAATCCTCATGAACTGCATATTACTGTTCCTGTCTGCAAAACGCAGACTTCTCTGCTATTCCAATCCACCTGCTCTTTCAAAAGCGCTCAAGGAGTACATTCAGAGATAACACAAGACAAACAAAATGACTCACATGAGTAGGCTATGTTAATTTAGTGTGTTCTTTTCCTTAATGGCCAAATACTCAAAACTCCGCCAAGGAATTGATTTCCCTTGACAAAAAAATCATGTTCCCAAGGCTGCAGTATGTATTGGTAAAAGTAGTGTGTGTATACTTTTCTTGGAAGATTGGAGACTTTCTCCTTGTTGTCCAGATTTCTGCATATATTATCTCTTCTTTTATTGGATGAAGTGTGTGGTTATTTCTTAGAATACCGTATGAAGTCTTTTCTTATTTCTAGACTTTTTTGGAACACTTGCAGTAGGTGTTATCCTCAAGTTTCTTTGATCAGATTTATCTTTTGGTTAACATTAGAAACATTTCAGGAAAAAACCATCCATACAAATTAGTAAAGTTTTGAGTTTTACTAGGAAAGTTCCATTGTCTGGCTTGGCAACAATGCATAGCTTCCTAGTTTTTTGAGCTTTCTTTGCGCTTCTCTGTGTCTTACTTCCTCAGAGTCGTTTGTATTTAAAGGAACAATAAAGTTGTCTTTAAAGGAACCCTAAATATTTTACTTAGGAGTGTAAAGCTGTAAGAATTAGCTGTATTTTGAAATTTAATTCTTTTGGCTGCCAACAGAACAGTTCATTCTGTATCAGTTACCCTCTTCCACTTTTCTGGATAGACTTGTCTAGTTGTCTGTTAATGAGCTTCAGTTGTTATCTACTTAAATCAGAAGATTTTGGTTACATTCCTATTTTATTTCATTTCAGTTTCTTTAGGGACATGCTTGTTGGTACTAGGTTTCTGGTTTTGTAGACTTGAAAATTCTTAGTCAAGCAGTCAGAGGTGTCTCGCTGCCTGTGGGAGATGATCTTCTGTCGCTTTTTGGGGAGAGACAGGGAGAGTATGGGTTTGGATTTTTTGTGTTCTGCCTCTAAGGGCAATGGGAATAATGAACTATGTGGAAGACATAGGTAGAATAGTGAGTCCCCAGAGCAAAAATTTAAACAAAAGTAAAATTGTAGCATCCTTTTTCAGTTTATTAAATTCTAATTCCAAATCTGTTGTGCTCTGTGATTATCTTCTTATTTGAAATATGTTTTCAAGTTTGTGGAGGCAATAGTGAGCTAATTGGTAAGATGACAGAAGTGATGTATTCAAGGTTGTAGAAGTGTGTCTGTTCAGAACCTGTTCTTGACAATGCTTCTCACAAAAGCTCTTTTAGTTTTAACTGACACTTTTTCATGTTTTGGTGCTCTGCTTTTTCATAATGATCACTTGGGCACTGGTTTACCTGCGTAAGTCAGTGCTTTAAGAGTTTGTTCAATCACTTCAAGTTGGGAATTTTATAATGAGAGATTAATAAGACTTTGTAAACCCTGGCTACTGGGACACTGAATAATTTACCACTTAAAGTTAGCAATTTTTATTTACAATTTTTGTGTCTTAAAGGGTCACTTAATCTTTTTTTATCCTTAATAGTTGTTGATGATCAGGCTTGTGGGTTTTTGTGGTTTGGGTTGTGGGTGGTTTTTTGGGTTTTGGGGTTTTTTGTTTGGTTGGTTTTGGTTTTTTGGGGGTTTTTTTGTTTGGGTTTGTTTTTTTTTTTCCCAAAACCATGTTCCTGAGTTATTTTTCATCAGCATTACAAAAATGTTTGTTTGTGTTTACCTGTATCATGAGATTAGGACTGAAGCTACATATGTAGGAGTCAGATGACTCCCCTGTAGGGGTACAAACCTATTAAGGAACATTCTCTGGATGTAAGCTCTGTGCTGTCTTTGGCAGGTTTTACAAGATGTATAAGAAGGTGTTTTCTCTATCTCTGTATGTTTCTGAATGAGTAGCTAAGTACTAATGAAAATGACAAGGTGGGAAGATTTAAAACAAGTACTTTTAATGAGGTTAAAAGTAGGAATGTCCTGAATATTTATAGTAGCCTGCTAGCTATCTTTGAAGACCCCAAGCAGTTCAACACTTCTGCAGCAATCTGGCTTTCTTAGTGGCTTGATTGTGCTTCCCTGTTGAAAAAATTCCACAAATACTGTAGGTGGTCTTGCAAACCATGATTGAGAAACTCCTTTCTGCTCAGTGGATTAACTTGACATTTGTATTTATGTGTATTTTTTGAGGAACGTTGCTGCTTGCATTTCATTTATGCAGACCTCAAAGTATGCTCTGTCAGCTCAGTCCTGCAGTATCGTGAGTGCTCATGAATTTATTGCACTCAGCTCTTCAGGACTCTTGCTGACTAAAACCATATTGATTGAGACCTTGGTTTAGCAATATACTTTAATATGTGATTAACTTTAAGCTTATTAGAGGTGGAATTCAGCTCCAGTTTAAGACCTCTAAATTTAGGTATTGGCTAAGAAGCTAGGTGTAGAAGCTTGTGCTGGAGTCAGAAGGGATCTAGGCAGCGGAGCCTAGAGAAAGATTCAGTTTGCCAGCCACTGGGTATCTCTTTCAAGGTGGGCTGAATCCGTTTAGGCTCACTGACTGTACTATCTAGATCTCCTTTTACTGTGGAAGAGAAGTTTGGATAGTTCACACATCTGCAGATAGATGTTAGTAAGGTGTTTTAATCTGGAGTTGATTTCTTTGCCAGTATTCCCGTTGGCTCAGTGGAACTACTCCTGTGCTCAAATTTTAGGTGTGCCAGTGTGATTATTTGCTGTAGTGTTATAAAAAGCACACATTCTGCTGGATGTTATCAGCTTTTCAGTTCGGGACTGATTTGATCATGTGAACTGCTTCAGCTCTGCAACTCAAATTAATTAGGCTTGCATAAGCTACCTCAGTTTGTAGCTTTCAGCCCAGTGGTGACGAATGTAAAGTGCTCTGTTGTCTCGGCAAGTGATCATGTCAGCCTTTTGAAACGTATTCTTGATTTCTTTGATCAGTGCCAGGAAAGTGAACTGATGGTACCATACTCCATTTTAATGGGTTTATTTTATCTAGGTGAAGGGGGTTTTTTTTATTACTCTGTACAGTTAACTTAACTTCAATGTTAATATATAGTCAGGCTATAAGACTGAATACTATGTAAACACTGAAATGCCTCATCTCTCAAAATTGCCGCTAATATTACTGAAGTTGTTCAAGAGTTTCTGAAGTGGCCTCTTGATACTGTAAGAGGCCCTAGCTGCTTAAGTCCACTATTACGTTGCTCCCTACGTATTGTCAGCACATCTGTTTGTGTGGCTGCCTGACAAGTTGGACAGAGGTGCACTGCTGAAAAATTGCCTCTGTTTTTGGTTTGCTAAGATATGTTTTACCCAGTCAGTACCCAGACTGTGTTCAACTGCACAGGCAGAAGTGCCAGCATGGGGTCGCACAATGCAGTGATAAAGGGAGGACAGAAAATTTTTCAGTAGTAATGCTGGCTCAGAGTAATTGCCATTCTTTCAGGCTATGGATTTACAATTGCCACTAAGAAGAAAAGAAATCAGAAAATGTACTGTCCTGAGGAGGGCAAATCCAACCCAAATAGGGGGAGAAGAAGCATAAAACACATGTAAAGTGAACAGTGTGTCATGGCATTGTCATGTGAATTCTGGCTGGGGGTTTTTTTTTTTTAGAATGTGTGCTATGCAAATTCCAATTTAAAACCGGTATTCGCTACCTAATAAGATTCTGAGCACTCTTCTCAGTGGCGTTGTATGCAAGATCAGTGATGCAGCCTACTTACTTTAAGTTCATGCTTGCTTCCTGCCCTTTCTAGAATGGTTATAGATTACAAGTAAAATATCTACACTTTTTCTTCCCTGATTCTTGAGCATTGTCCAACACTCAGGTCCTCTTCACTCACCTGCAAAATGTTTTGCTGGGATTTGATTTTTGGCTATCTTAACTGAAATGCTTAAAGAACAGTTTTTAAGCAGCACTTAACAGCAGTGCTGTGGTTGCAGCTATTTCAGGTGATGAATATAACTGGAACACACATAGACTGTGCAGACAGTTCAGATCAAGTATTTGAACATTTAATTGCCAGTTATTTGCAGGAAACTTGGTTCTCCTAAGCTGTTTTAATTCAATACAGGATGTCCCACTTCAGTCACTTGTTTGAACTTTCAATAAAACGACATCTTTGCAGGACATTACTGATACTTTGTAATGCAAATAGCCATCATGATAAGATAAGCTGTTAATTCTGTCTGCTTTTACTATTTCCTGATTTGTGAATGTTTATTAAAGATCTGGTATTGTCTTACAGCTTTATTAAACTGTCTTTTCATTCCTACAGGGGAGATGATTTGCTTCAGAATATTTGACTGTTAAAGAAAGTCATGCTAATTTCATTCCTTGTAACACTTCTGAAAAATAACACCACTTTCCCTCTGTCTCTTTTCAGAGAATGGACCTTGGTGAATGTCTGAAGGTGCATGACCTGGCATTAAGGGCAGACTATGAAATAGCATCCAAAGATCAAGATTTCTTCTTCGAGCTTGATGTATGTATTTTATCTTAATGGTGGAGAGAAAGCATAATTTGTGTACTTAGGTGGATAAACGGAGCAACAGAAGTTAAGTTTTTGTACACACTGAAGGAAAACTTTTGGAAAGTAATTTTATAGAAAGAGGCAGAGAAACCCTTGTCACAGTTACAGAAACGATACATGCCTCTTCATGATTATATGTGAGTATTTAATTTGCATTCGTAGTCATCTCTAGGTAGAACTATTAACAGCCTTCCACAGAACAAATTATCATAAACCTGGATGCTGTCTTAGTATTATCAAATAGCAAGCGAATGTTAAGACTGTGTGTGCTTTGAAGAGAGTCTTAAATTCTATGTTTATTGAAGAAAGTAATTTTGTATTGGGGATAACAAATCATATGCTATGTCTTGGTACACGGTAGTTTGAGTAATACAGTTTTGAACTCCCAACTAGGAAGTTAGTCTTCACTAGGACAAAAAGGTTTTGGGGTTTTTTGTTGTTGTTTGGAGGGATGGTGTTAATATGCTTAATAGCTTAAAACCCGAGTGAAAGAAGTTACGGTATTGCATGTATTGGCTGGGTGAGGTGAACCTGAGTATCCTTTGAAGAATTTTAATGCATGTTAGAAATGCACACTTCTTAGGGAAGACTTAAGACAGATTCACTTCCAAATTTCTGCAAATACTTATAACTACGACAATGTGTAGACTATGATTTTTAAAATGTTGTGTATTAATATAGGTGATTAGTCACCATAAACTGCTGGATTATTGTTTTACAAGGTTTCACTATTAAACTTGTAAAAGTTAAGTCTTAAACCTGGAAAATGTTAAGGCTAATGAAATATTCGTGTTCTCGACAGCATTGATCAGTGTTTTTATTGATATTGTAGGCAATGGACCACCTGCAGTCATTTATTGCAGACTGTGACAGGAGAACAGAAGTGGCTAAGAAAAGACTAGCTGAAACCCAAGAAGAGATCAGTGCTGAAGTTGCAGCTAAAGTAAGCATGTAAAACTAGTTACTGATGTCTCTTTGAAGGTCTGTTTTTCTAAGGAGTCAACTTAAGTCTTTGGCAAGCTATTGAATCTGAGAATTCATGCTGAGGAGGGGAAAAATTAAGACTTTTTTTCCCGTCCTTCCCAAAACTACCTTTAAAGCACGGAGAGGAGAACACAGGAAAGAGACCTCTGATATTTTTATGCTCAGGAACCTTGACTCTGTGATACCATGCCATACAAATGTTAGTAATTCTTACGGGTTTTGATCAAAACTTCATCCATAAAGTAAACAAAATTTGACGTGCTTTTCTCTAGATCTTCTAACTGAAAAAACTTTCATCGTTTTTCTGCATATATATGCACATGCTTAGAAGGAATGGTTGTACAAGTAGTAATTTTGCAAGACTATGTGGTATAGACAACAGTGTGAATTACCTGAAGTTTCTGAACAAAATCCTGCTCTGGAGTTGGTACATAGACTTAACTCAGCCTTTCTCTGTGTGTTTTTACATGAGGCAAATTCTGTTTCACTTTTACCTGGAGAAGTTATCTCTGCATGTTTCTCTTAATTCTGTCCTACCAATTTTGCATATAATAACTTGGTAGTAGTTCAGATTGTTTTCCATAATTAAAAGCATTTCCTGTGTTAAGTCTTTCCTTGTCTTTCAAGGCTGAAAGAGTTCATGAATTGAATGAAGAAATTGGAAAACTGCTGGCCAAAGTAGAACAGCTTGGAGCTGATGGGAATGTGGAAGAATCTCAAAAAGTAATGGATGAAGTGGAGAAGGCTCGGGTAAAGAAGAGAGAAGCAGAAGTAAGTTGATTGTGTAAGGCTTGGGGGATGGAGAGGGCAGGGTCCAAGATTAAATTGGTTGGCATCTGTGTAATGCAAGATGTCTTACCTGCTGTTGTTTCCTTAACTAATTGCTTCATATAAAACTAAAGAATTTGCTTTGCTGCATCCGGTACAGTCAAAGTTTCTACCTTTAAATACACTCCTGTTTATATTAAAATCATACTCACTTCCCCAGATGATGCATTTATCTTAGTTTAGCTGTATTGGCCAGTTTTATCTGTGGACCCTACAGTTGTGTCTGTGTTTGAACTGACTTGCCTCATTCAGTCTCATGGCTCTTGCTGTGGCAACTCTGTTGTGCCTCGTGGTGTGCTGATGTGGCTTGTACTGGAAAGCTTCAGTGAAGTGAACCATTGTCTTCATTGAAAGATGGTCAATGACTTGTGTATCAGGCAAGTCAAAACAGTCCCTGTTGTAATGTTCAGGTGGCAGAACTCACCAAGAGCTTTTTCATGTCGTATTTTACCAAGATACTTAAATTTATAGAAACAAACATCTGCAGTTGTTTTAATGGTACCAGAGGGGTTGCTGGCAGTCTTTCTTATCTGTCATCTGAGTGTCTGTAAATAAATTTTGCTCAGATAACTTGTTAGTGGCTAAAATGCAGGTAGATTTCTCAGGAAACCGCTACTGTTTTAAACTGGGTTCAGAATTAAAACTGGTGTAGTATTTTCATAATATGTTACCATAGTAATTGTAGTGTTAATGTGTATCCACTGTTGCATATGAAAAAGTTGTTTATCCTTAGAAGTAGTATGATCTTAAGTAAAGTTAATAAACACCCCACTTTGTTTAATTTACAAAACCACTTGCTGATGTCCTGCCTTTAAATATGTCCAATCTTCAAAATAAGGAACCTGCCTTGTATCTTAATGAGACACTTGATTTATGAATAGTGTGAATTAACTAAAGGGTGTGCTGGTGTACATTGAATTTGGTTATCAATTTGTAGTATATCTTTGGTAAAGTATTATCTTTGTATTTCTGTGCATTGAGAAGTAACAGTTAGCACATTGGGTTTTTTCTAGGAAGTATACAGGAATTCTATGCCTGCCTCCAGCTTTCAGCAGCAGAAGCTACGGGTTTGTGAAGTGTGCTCGGCTTATCTTGGTCTTCATGACAATGACCGACGACTTGCTGACCACTTCGGAGGAAAACTGCATTTAGGATTTATTGAAATAAGAGAGAAGCTTGAGGAACTCAGGGTAAATCATTCTTATATTTTTGTGTGTTATGTGTGTGCTCCTACTTATTTGCCAGACAACCTTAACGGAATATTTCTTTCTGGGTGTGTGAATTTTGTTCATATTACTTTAAAATTTGGGATTTCGTTAGTCTACAAAATGCTAAACATTCCAATTCAGTCTAGGTTATCTGGATAATTTGATAAGATAACCTCTTTTGCACTGAGGTATATTAAAACACATGTTCAAAGTAATGCATTTTGGGAACAGAGAGTGTGATTCCACTTGTAAAATGGAGAACTGTATTTTGAACAGGGATGTTGAAACATATTTAGCAGTCATAGGAGATAACCAAATGACCTTTAGTTTTAGCGAGTTGATTGGCTGAAAGTAATAATGAGACTCTCGAAAATAGAAGAACATGTAGTGGGCCTGAGTGGTATTTTATTTCTTTAATTAGGATAAAATGTTAATGGGGCTGGTGTTGAAATCCTCATTTTTGGTACCATTATGAAAGGAGCATGGTAACACATGGCAAAGCTTTCAAAAAAGATCTACAGAAATGCTTATAGTTCAAACAGCCTGCTGTATGGTGAAAGACTAAAACTCAATTTGTTTATTTTATCCGGACAAAGACAAGGAGGTGACTTTCATTCTATAGGTACCAACAACTAAAGAAGATTTCTTTTTTTTTTTTTGAGTAATTTTTGAAGGCTTTTAAGCTTAACTGACAATAGATGAAATGAATTCCAACAACTCAAGGCTGTAGCTATCCCAAGTCAGAATACAAAAAGATGTATATATTGAAGTCAGGCTAGCTATTAAAATAATTGTTATGGAGAGGTTGCATGTCCTCTGTAGCTTGAACATTTGAAATCCAGTTGGAATATTATCCTAAACAACATTATCCTGACCAGAAATTGTGTGCTGGAAGAAAGACTTACTGGAATTATATTCTAGACTTTTGGTATTCAAGAGGATGGATTTGGACACCAATGCCATTTATGATCTTAATGTGCAGATTATGGAGTTCAAGGCTCAGTTAGGCATTTAACTGTAGAAATCACTAAAGATAATAGCTAAATGAGTTGAAGCCCTAAAAGCAGAAAATGCTGCTACTGCGTTTGAGTAAATTGGCTTGGTTTATATTTCATAATATTCCAGCTGTCTTGCATGGATACTGTGACTTACCCATTGGAAAGTCCAACTCTTTCCATTGAATATATTGGCAATTTAGGCTCCTAAATATAGCTGCTGTAACTTAAACCTCAGATGCCTAGAATAGATCATGTGCGCTTCCTCTCATCGCTCTGTGAAATTATGCAGAGAGTCACTTGAACAAGAATCCTTGCTTGTTGTTAAAGTACTGATATTGTACAAGGAAGTATAGATATGATTTGACATAAAGGGTTGAAATAACTGATTATTTACACAATTCCCCAAAAAATATGCATGGATAATTATTTCACATTCCCAAAGCATCAATAAAATAATCTTTTGAAGTACTTCGCTAACAAAAAAAGAAAACAATAACTATCCCCTCCTTCCTCAGAGCTCTCCTCAGAGATCTAATCAAGATGCTGCTGGGGCAATTCCACATCTCAGAAGAAGGTCTTTGTAAAGAGTTGAATTTCTTGCATCATGTCCAGAAGGTGGCGAGACTTGGGTTTGGCCAGATCTCCAGTTGTGAGTTCCACATCTGAGGGCCCTCTACTGAGCGTGCCTTGTCCCCAGTAGTAGTGAGTTCAACCTGGGGGCTAGCAGCTGAAGCATCCTCTCTAATTACATCTCATGTTCACAATACAGAAACAAGTAGCCTCAAAGCTAGGTGTCAGCCCAGCCAAGTCCTTTAAGACTAAGAATTTCTTTTTGTCACGGCGTAGCTGAAGGAATTACTAAAACAATTAACTCTCCCAGCTCTGATTCCTTCCTACCTTTCCCCAGTGGCCAAAATATGATCAGATTGGCATGGAAACTCTCAAATTAAAAGCATGACTTACTGCTCTGAATTCCCCTTTGTGAAAAACTTAATATAACTATGTATTTCAGGTCTTCGTGTAACATCCATCTATTTGCTGCAGCTCTTCTGCAATAACTTCTGTTTCTTGGAGAAAAAAAATATATATACACACACACACACACTGAGGAAGAGAGAGGGAATAATGTACACAAGGGAAAGGGAATATACATGAGGGAAAGAACTGAATATTAACTGTCTAGATTATTTTTATAGCACCTTCATCTGAGAAATTTTGAAGTGTAACTTAATGAATATATTCCTTTGCTTTTAGAGGATTGTGGCTGATAAACAGGAGAAACGAAATCAGGAACGTCTGAAACGTAGAGAGGAGAGGGAAAGAGAAGAAAGGGAGAAACTAAGGAGGTAGGGATCTATTGTAATTGCAAATACATAATGACCTATTTAAGTTTAATGGAAAAACTGATGTAGTTCATGCACATTCCTAAATCTGCAGAATCATGATAGCCTGCATTCCTTGGAAACGTACAAGGATTGAGGGTGAATTTCATGTCTAAGTCTTACAATGTGAATTGTGTTCATAGAAAACCTTTTTAAAAAATACAGATAGAAGTGTCTCTTCATATTTGAACAAAAGGCCATTAAATGAGAATTTTAAGGTGTGTACCTTGTTTTGAGACCTGACAGATGTAGGTTTACACGCATGTAAGTTTCTGACATCTGTTAGATATGAGGTATTTTGTTTATAGATGTTAGAAATTTTCCTTATTGGAAGTAGTTGAGTGTACGACTAAGGAAAGTAATTCCCTGTTCTTCTACGAAATAGTTGCTTCCAGGCCTTGTGGGGCTAGAGTGGAATGGAATCTGAACTGCAGTTCTCTTGACGTGTTAGCTTCAGAGGTTAACAATGTCAACTTTGGAAATCTATTGCAGTCTGATAATACATACCTGACAAGAAATAAGGGAGTACTGGCTTGAACTGTAAGCTTTTTCTGTGGGAGGGGTGGGAATAAAAAAGCAGATTAGATATTCTTTTGGGTTTGTAGTATGGTGGGGTCAAAATAAATAAACAAACACAAAACAACTGTCAGAGGGATCTATTTCCTGGTAAATATGTTACAAAGATGTTAACATCAATTAAAAGGCCTTTAAGTAACTGCTAGTAAAACAATGTCGTGGTTTAAGCTCAGCCAGCAGCTAGGCACCACGCAGCCACTTGCTCACTCTGCACCCCCTCACCCAGTGGGATGGGGAGGAGAATTGGAAAAAAAGTAAAACTCATAGGTTGACATAAGAACAGTTTAATAACTAAGGTAAAATAAAATGTAATACTAACAATAATAATAATAAAATATAATAACAATAACAGTAATAATAGTAATGAAAATGAATATAATTTAAAAAAAAAGAAAAAAAAAAACCCAAGTGGTGTACAATGCAGTTGCTCACCACCCCACAGACTGATCCGCCCCTCCCAGCCAACCCCCCC